TGTAACTAGACACAATTTCATTCATTTTCTATTTCCTTTTAATCATGAGGCATTTTACTCATTGCGCATGCCAAAGGCTCTATTTTTGGGTTATTATTTTTTTTTTTTAAATTCCTCTTAGTCAAAGGCTCTGGGCTATGTTATGAGTGGGCCAATGGTTGAGTGAGAGATGTATGTATGTCACACCAATCAGTTTGGGGCTACTAAAAACAACCAATCAAATTGCCGCTTGTAAAGGTGAATCACATGTGTGAAGACTTCTTCCCGATTTTAGAACGGCCATCTTTGTTTCCCTGCAGACAGGATCAGGTACCGTATTCTTGAGTGCTTTCCATTACGCCAAACCGACCGGTCACAGATCAGTGGGAATACCCGATGAAAATGAAACTACAATTTCCGATTAAACCGGGCCAACCAATAGGAATGGCTCTTACCATTTTAGTCCTTTACCGAATTCCGGTTTGCCTAAAATGGAACGGTGAATTTCCGTCGGAATATTCCAACCGAAACAAGCAGACCGAGGTGATCCCGAATATTCCGGTCAGAAGAAACCGAAATGGACCTTTCCATTTGCATTCCGACCGAAATTTCCGGTCTTTGGCATAATGGAAAGCACCCCTTGTATTGGCCTTATTCTGACATTGCCGATGCTGCGTTTACTATAGTTAAGTCCAGAGTTCAGAATTCGATAAATCAGCCGAGGAATCATAGTCATACATCAACATGTCATCAAGGCTTTGTTTTTCGCATTAAATGAAATTTCGAATGAAGTGAGTCTTGGCCGCTCGACAACTTGGTAATTTCTACGACAGGAAAGATTATTTTCACTGAGTGCAAAATGCACTATTGCGATGGTGAGTGGGCTTTCGTCCGTGAAGGTATTCGCCGTCGCTATTGCATTACGTGCAGTTCACGAAAAAGGAATTAAGTCTAAAACCATTTATGTTCGCGCAAAATGTTTCAGTTTCTGAATGCAAGTCTCAATTTTCTTGGACTCGATACTGAATACTCTCTGTCAAAACCGAAGAAATTACGGACAGTTAGTTATGAATGAGAATTGAACACTGCTGAGTTTTGAAATCTGTTTTTGTTGCAGGTAAATTTAACAGGATATTTTTATTTGTTAGTTTCAAATGGTAACTGAAATGGACCAACGTGACTCCCAATTATTCTGTCTTCAGCTGTCATTCACCTGTTAAGTCTGAAAAACACATCCTACTTAGTGCTAATGATGCGGATTTAGCGCTCTTGTCCATTCGAAACACTCCACCTGCTGGCCACACCTTCCCTCCAGCTCAGCGTTTGTTTGCGCGAACACTCTGCTCTGATCTCCATCAAGCTACCGCCACCTTGGATCCTTTCACACCTCCGTACTGGTCAATCATGTCCATCGTAAGGTACGACAGAAAAGAGCGTATGACAAACATGCAGGAGCAACTCCCCCTGATCTTCCACCTGGAAGCTATGTATACGCAAAGCCACAAACAGTCTCATCGACTAAAGAAAAGTGATTGGCCCTGCTGGTCCTCGATCTTATGTGATTAATACAGGCAAGAGACAAATCCCACCAAATCGTTTACAAATTCAGCGTGGCCCCTCACTGCGCATGAGTGGGTTTTTCACCCCATAAGGCTGACCAAACTCTTCCTGACAAATTGCTACCGAATTCAACCACAGCCAGGATAACACCATCTCAGGCCCCACCGAGATCTCCAGTAAATTTTTCGTCAACTGCATCACCACCACCCGCAGAACCTGTGTAATCTCTACCTGATGAAACCCTACCTGCGCTGTTCTCATCACCACCCGTTCCTCATTTGCGCAATCACCTACCATTCAGCCAGTAGTTGCGTCACGCAGCTCGCCTAAACCTTAAACTGTAACTCGTGGTGGTCGCGTGATTCGTCAACCCTCTAGCTATGCTGACTAACTACAATGTACATTGCACTTCCTACTGCAGGTGCAGACTACGGTAACACTATGCTGTAGATAAGTGTCATTCATGTTGACTTCCACCTCCATGACAGTACCCCAAGAATGGGGCTACTGACAATAAGTTCGTGGCTATGTTTTTTTTTACTTCCTGCGAACTGCTGCTGTGCAATCAAGTTTAGATAGTTTAATTTGTAGATGAAGTTTTGTTGAAAGAGGAAAGCGTGTAATATACTGTTACCCATCATGCATCTTCATGTGATTACCCATGATCCATTGTGATCACCAGTTGATCCAGGTGAGTCAGCCATGTTGCTTCAGACAATAAATCTACATATGATCTCGATCGTCGTCTCCTGTTATTATGATCTATTACACATTGACCCATGTTGATGTATATCATCCAGGCTATTCATAAATAGGCCAGGGTAGTTTTCTTTCCGATGGCAAGTTGTGTATAAATGTTCGAGTGCCGACATGTCCCGTTATTACTCCCGGCGGGAATTTGGAAATTACTCCTGAGAATAACGCCTTTCAAAGCAAAATGGTACCTTGGTTTTCTACCGTAACAGCAGAAGAAATTTTAGCAGTCTAAAATGCGGATGTCCCCTCTAATAACAAAATTCGCCTAGGCAGCATTTACAGGTACAATTTCATTCGCTAACTTAAAACAATGAAATTTATTAGATATCTCACAGTACGGCATCATTTAAAGATTTTACGAATCCTATAAAAAAGCGTGGCCACAGGAATTTTGTAAAATGCCTTCTAAATAAACCGAACTGCGAGGAAAGTTATTTGCCTTCATATTTGCCGCGATTTCAAGATGGAGGACCTGATCACTTGCGCGGAGTCGAAA